ATTTTAAAAGATATATTTACTAAAATTACACAGAAATATCTTGAAATACTAAAGAGTAAATTCATTCACTAAAATCGCCATTGACGTCAAACATCTCTTGCAACTCATCTAGATGGTCTTCTTCTTTAAGTTGGTGAATGTTGTCATAATCCTTACCTTTCACTTCATCTTTGGTGTCACAAAGAATTTTGTTGGTCTGTCACTCAACTGCACCCCACACATAATAAAGGGGATGCAGCCTGAAGAGCTAGGTGACCAGATTCAAGGGGTGATGTGGTTGCTGAAATTGTCTGACAACAATTAGGTTCTCCTGCATGTGTGGCATGGTGCAGAGTTCTGTTGCCAGACATAGGGTCTTCCAGCAAGCACCCTCTTGACCCAGGGCAGCACTACTTCCTCAAGGCACTTGATGTAGGCCTCTGTGTTGAGTCTCAGAGTCTCACCAACAAATTTGGGAGCTCTTTTTCTTATCAGAAGGATCAGAGTGAATTTTCAAGCTGTACTTTTGTAATTACCATTAGACACGTCCAACTCTTCCGAATCCTCTGCGCTGTCCTCAGATTGACACCCACAGACTATGAAATGTTTGTAATGGAGCTTCTGGCATGAATGCCAAGCAGTACAGTGTACTGTTTCTGGTGGAGTGAATTGTGTCATGGTGATCTTTCTCTCACAGACGGTGCCCAACTGACTCTACAATACTGTGCAATTGACAAAATCAAAAACAAACAACACCCATTCACAAAATCAAAAATATAAAATGGCATCAATTTACTCATCGCATCCTGTACATGGATGCACTTTTGTGTGTGTACAGACTATGTATACACATAAAGCACAGTCTATAATAAACCTCAATAACATTGACTCATAATGACTTGTCATAACACATTTTTGTAGACATCTAGAAAAAGAAATGTAATTCCTGTAATTAACGAAGTCACATTAAAAAGTATTATTTTACTAGCCTCATACCAATAAATAGCCTGTGAAGTAATACGAGAATCAATAAAGGTTCTTGCATTCAATAAATAATGGAAAGATAATCAGTATAAGCTCTTTACCTGTCAATGTATATAGTTAGTTATTAAGCTTAGCTTAGTTTTGGCACAAGGTCAAAAGTATGTGGCACCCAGTGAGAGTATAAATCTCTACACATTAGTAATGATCAACTAGATCAGCTCACTAACCGTACACCTGTCAATGAATATGTGGTTAATATGGAATGTCTTTGAGAATTTACAGATAAGTAAATAGATGTAGGAATCTATTAGTGCAATAAAATACAAGGAAAATATGCTTTAAATTAAATAAAGCAAAAAAGAAATGTTTTAGAATATTTTTTTGAAGCAATTTTTTCAAATTAATGCATTTTTTCTACTGCTATCAGTTCAGAGCAAATTATCTTTCAAAACAAATTTCAAAATAAACTTTAAAATGAAACATTTAAATTAGATTTCTCAAAAAATACAGAAATGTATAATGATTTTGATTGCATCTGAAGGAAAGAACTGAATTAAAAAAATTATTTTGTCTTGTCTAAATTATAAAGCTTTAAGATATTAAAAGTGAATTTTAAAACAATATAAAAGCAAAAAACCAAAAATTAAGAAAGAATATCTTTTAAGTTTTATGACTTGTAAGTTATAAAATCTAAAAAATATTCTTTACTTTTTATTTTTTAAACATAAAAAATAACTTTATAATTGTAATGAGATTTAGTGTAAAGAAGACTTAACATAGTATCATAACTAAATAGTTACTGTTCATAGATAAGCTAACTTCCATCTCAAAATAAAAATTTTAAATCAGAATCTCTTGAATTTTTTCTCTTCTTCTTAAGCATGCTTGTTGCATGACATTATACTTCATATTTTTATTTTTTTAATTTTTTCTAGTTTCAAAGAATGCCATTTTAAAATCCTTAAAAAACATATCAGCTAAATTGCTAAAAATAGGAAGCTAATGTTATGTTGTACTCCGCTTGTTGTCACTGCACAACTTGTGATGACATCCAAGGTTGGTTGTATGTCTATATACACCTGGCTAGCTATGTTCACAGGTTTATCTCCTTGACTGTGATTGAATTCAACAAAGAATAACAACAAATGTTTTCAAGACACTGGTTGGGAAATACAATTTCTCACTTAGCTGTCGAAATGTGCTTTTGGCTTAATTGTGGTGGACTGCTGTCTTACTACCTCCCAGCCATGGAAAGAGGTTCCCTTACATTCACTTAATGTCTAGATGACTGCTGATTCTTTACTGCTTACTGATCCCTTCCTCCTCTCTGATTGTCTGTCCCTTTCTTACTGGCTGCTGGTCACTTACTGCATCTCATTGCTTATATCCCACCCCTTATCCATCCACTTGTGTTCCGGAAAAGTAGACCACCCAAATGCTGGATGGCTGGTCAGTTTTTCAAAGGACTCTACTTTTATGATTATCTAAAATCACTAACAAAATGTTATATTTGCCAATTCAAAGGCAGGCTGCAGACAGGAATCCTAGAAACTCTAGTAATTAAGTTGATTTAAAAGGAAAAGGAATAAAGATGTGTGAGAAAATTGTATTGTTACACTATTTAAACATTTTTCATGAAAATTCTATTACAATAAAATTTGAAAATGTCAGATGCTTTGCAAATGTGAGCTCCCTCAAACAATAAACTTAATGAGCCACATAACTAAGCTTATAATCCAGATTCAGATGAACAGAACACATAGGAGAATTAGACTGAAAACATGGAAAAAAAAAGTAATGTCTTCATTAAAGATATCAGAAAAATAAAGGATATCTTTATTACCATAATACTATCATACTAAGCAATATAAATGCAAAAAGGACTATACTGATGTTTCATTGACTATGTAAAAGCATATGGACAGAAAATGAAGTAAGTATGCAAAAATGGACAGCGGAATAAAACAAGGATGTGTCTTCTTGCTGGATTACAGGGAGGTGATCTTAAGAGAATTAGAAATCCTTCTAGGATTTGTTATTGGTGGACACAATCTTAAAAACATATGTTGTTGGTAGACACAGAGAGAAAATTACATGTACTCCTAGACAAGATAATGAAGATTAAGTGAGAAGAAAGAACTATCAATTGTAAAATGACAATGTATGATCATTAGCAAAAGGAACAGCCCAAGATGCAAGTTACAAATTAGAGATGTCAAAATTCAAAAATTTAACTATCTGGGAAATGTGACCCAGAAATTAGAAGGTACATTAAAATAGTAAAATAGTCCTTCCAAAAGCTAAACAAAGTATTAAGAAACTAAGAAAAGAGTACATAGGATTAATATTACATAGCAATTCAACTGTTATGTAATATTCATCCTCATATGTTAATGAATACTGCATAATTTGCTCATAGATGAAGAGGAGACATGAGATAACAGAGATGGGATTCTACAGAAGGATGCTGAGAATACCACGGATGGAACATGTGAGTAACAAGAAAGTTTCAAAGAAAACAAGAACAAAAAAGACGCTACTACTTAGGCAAGAGACAATTGAACTTTTTGAGAGACCTAATGAGGAAAGAGAGCTTAGAAAATGTAATACTCACAGGGCATATTGATGGTAAGAGACATAGAGGAAAGCAGCATAATCTACCTAGCAAGCTTGTATAAATAGATGGCAGAAGAGAAATTAGGAAGGATTGTAAAGGGACAAATTTTTGTGATTTTTAAGTTTTGTAAATTGGATAGTGGCACTAGGTGTGTTTTTCACATGCCTTAATATCTTATTTGTGATTGCTAAGTTCAATTGGCAAACAGCAAAACCTATGTTAGGGTATTTATTTTTAATATCTTTTAAATTACCTGATTTTCCTACAAACTAAAGTTAGATATAAATCTCTCTACATGGAATGCATTTTACACAATGAAAAATAGCAAAATCATTGTCTTTTATATCTAGATAAAGAATAGTCTTAGTTCAGTGTATTGAGCATTTACAATAAAACTTTATGAAATAATTAGCTTTTTTCATCACTGGATGACTTTAGATTGTTCTAAATTTATCTCATGGTACAAAATTTTTAATTCTATAAAACTATTTAACCAACTTTTACATAATATTTTTAGTAGATAACTTTTAATAATTAAATTTAAACTACATAACTGAACAAAAAAGTAATAAAAGTGGTTTTAATCAAAGAAGATTATATACTTTTATGAATTTGATCTTTTTTATATTTGTTAATTACTCTATTCAGTAATCTTTAAATATAATTACCAGTCCCTACATGATTTACTTGGCTTTTCTCTTCTATGCTCCAAGAAAACTAAAATCATTTTGTATCCTGAAGATTTAAGATAAACTGTAGATTAAACAGTAATGTTACATTTGCATTAATCTATTTTTGCTGTTTATAAACTTTATAAAATTTCCTACTTTTTACTTTGATTTTACTAAAGTACTGCTGCTAAAATATCTCTACTCACAGAAATTTTTATTGTAATCAAAGTTGAAATGTTACCAATGTTCAGCATAATTCTGTGGAAAATTATAACCAGTATTGTCTACCTTGGAATATCATTTAAAAAGAGTCAGTTAACCTTCTTAAGACAGGGTGCTTTTCAACAAAAGCTTCGTACACCAATGGACAAGAGAGTATTAACAACTTGGAATCAGTATATAGATACCTGTTTTATCTAGTATCTACTCAATAATTATACAATTTTAGTTGGGAGAGCATTTAATTGATTGATTGATCCATTCAGTTTTTACAGCTTACCAACCCTTTGAAGGTTATTTAAAGCCAGAAAATATTTTTAGATTGTAGGAATTTGTTTTTGAGATAATGATGATTTAGTGAGACAAGTCTTACTAATTAACCCATAGCTAAAGTGGAGTAGAGGTGGATTCATACCTTTCCCAGGAGTATTTGCATGTAAGTGAATATAACGAACCCAACAGGAATTGGAACTTGACTCTCCAATTAACAATTGCAAGCCATTATCCATAACACCACCTACAAATTTAAGCTTACAGCACATGGTATTCCCAAGCTGTCATCCATCTAGGTACTGACCAGGCTTGACATTGCTTAACATCTGTAATCATACAGGAACTGGTGTTTCAACATGATGTGGCTTGAAATGCATTTAATTTAATAATATTATAATTTAGATGGGTGCTGAAAAGTTTTTAGTCCAGCCAAGATGGCTTCACAAACAAATAAATAAATTAATACCGAAAAATCTGATGCCTAATTTTTTGTTTAGATTTTGAAAAGACGGTCAAGCTGAAAATTGTTTTGTACCCTGGTACAGAAGATATTGAGTTGAAATTTCTGTTTAAATAATTCAATGTTATAAAAGCAGAGTTATAAAAAAATAACAAGAAAAAAAACCTCCTTGAAAATCTCTATGTCACATATATTTTGTTACCTGCAGTGGGTCATTGTGGATAAGTATGAATACATATATTCAGCTATATTTTATGGTATATTTGTCATATATAAAGTGTAAGTTTAAAGTATCATTTCTATGACATACCAGTGATAATAATACTTATGTTTGCATATTTTAATCTGAAAACAATATATTGCCTTTGATTTTTTTTATTTATATATCTCTGTACTCAACAGTTTTTCTTTGCTGTAACCTTAAGCATTACCACAGAATAAGAGCCAGATCTATTACATAATGCTAGACATAATTTAATTAAAAGAATCCTCTTGAATATCATGTTCCTATCTTATAAATTTAAATATGTAATATCTCTACTGTGCTATAAATATTGAAATTTACAGATTTAATATTATTCAATAATTTAAAGAAAAATTAAGAAAATCTAAGTAAATTCAAATCCTCTGTTCTGATAGGGCTATTATTCATTATACTCACAAAGCTTAAAAAACTGTTTAATAATACTGAAAATTGTAAATAAGGATTTAAATTCTTGACCACTGATTTAATTTCTCTAGTTGTTCTAATTACTTTTTGAATATTAAAATATGAATCTCTAACATTTGGCATCTGTAGAAAAGTCATTGTATTTTTTATTTATCTTAATTGAAGTATTTTTTGTTAGTGTATGGCTAAAGATTATTGATACAAAATGAAGGTAAAACTCTCAATTTTATGAAACTGCCTACCAACTTTCATTCTGACAGATTATTCTTGAATATATATATATATATATATATATATATATATATATATAGATAATATTAGTGGAAAATATACATACATATGAAAAAATATATCTAAAAAATTCCCATACATGTATATTTTCAGAAAAAAATTTTCCAAGAGGAAGGATCCAGGTAGAACTCAATGTCTAGGACAGTAAGGATATAATAAAAAGGCTTAAACACTAATATTCCATGGTCATAATTTATTCCATTGGAATCGTAAATACGATCCAAATCATCAGACCTACAAATTCAATTGAATTTGTAGGTCTCATAATATGATCAAATATCAGACCTACAAATTCAATTGAATTTGTAGGTCTGATGATTTGATCGTATTTACGATTCCAATGGAATAAATTATGACCATGGAATATTAGTGTTTAAGCCTTTTATTATATATATATATATATATATATATATATATATATTCATATATTCATGCATACATAGACACACACACAAAGGAAAAATCAATATCATTCTCCTGTTCTTGTTGTACCATGCCAGTTTACAGGATAATGAATAAGAAACATGTAATGAATTGCAAACATTTTACTACTTGGATTTGTTTATTCTTTTACATGATTTTGCAAAATAATTTTCACTCATGAATTTTAATGTTATTAAACAGTGACAGTGATGATAGCTAATTAAAATTTGATTATAGTAACCATCTTTTTAAGATAAAATAGACTACACAAAGAACATTTCTGAGAGAGAATTTTTTGCCATACTCAGCAAATTGAAAGGTGAATTGATGGCAAAGACTATATTGGATTGAATGAGAAGTGGGTTTATTTCAAATTCCAACTCCTGGTTTGAAAATATATTTTACCAGTTAGTTAAGACTAATGACAGTGTTATTTAACCATACAGATAAAGTTGGACAGTATTTATTGATATGAAGAATAAAAAGAAAAGTATGTTTTGAATGTTTCTCACTAATAGGTTATATCAGGGAATCAGTTCTAATGGTTAATAAGTTATCATTGCCCTCTTCAGTTCAGTTTTTATAATGAATCTCTCTTTCTCTGGCTTATATCACTATAACATTAAAAAAAAAGCTGAGTGAGACAGACTGAAAAATATATTTTGAAATGAAATACCTTTTTTTGATTCCAAGTTGTCTTGTTGAGATGGATTTGTATGAGCTTACATTGGAGTATAAAAACTCATGTTTATCTGTAGGTGTATACAGTGCAGTTTTGTAATTACTGAGCTGACCCTGCAACTTGACTGTACTCAGTGATCTTCACTACCAGATTTAATGATGTTAGATCCTACTTTTGATCACAAGTGGGAGATGATTAGGTCATTTTGCTGTCTAACTGTACATGGCATACTTATCACTTCAGAAATGATAGTATTTGAAATCAATTTTATAGGTGTGTAATTATACACCTATAAGCAAATGCTCATGCGCACACATTGACATATATGAGGGGTGCTGAAAAATTCTCAGCCTGATCCACTTACCAAAATTAGACCAGATGATTAAATAACAATATTTTTTTTTATTCTTTTGAAGGGCTTTTTAGTTAAACCAAGAACTTTTCAACAATTCCCCATATATATATGTACATATGTATATAAAACATACACACACACACGCATGAACATAGATATCTGAGGCATCTGTCAGTTTCATAACATAATAGATCTGTGCCTGCTCTCTAGTCACTTCTTAGGTATAGCCCTGGGCAAGTTGTATCAAAAAAACAGAATGTTCCATAAAGAAGTCCCAACTCTCCATGCCAGTGAGGTTGTACATAGGCTGATTCCGTTTGGCACCAGTGTCATTGCAAGAGTTGTCATAATGAGGTTGAAGATAACTTCAGATTGCTTTAGGGACTCCAGTTTCAGATGTGTCCTCGGGGTTTATTCCTGAAGCTTTTCTCATGACATGGTAGTGGAAATTTTGAATTTAAAGTTGCCCTAGACTACTCACCAACTAAATCTAGAGACATTAGTCTGTCCAACTATTTTACTCATAGTTGAAGTGTGAGTGAGAAGAAATGGATTCATGCCTTTTCCAAGTGAAAACCAATTGTCTCAGTTGCTCACCATTCCATATTCCATATTCCATGCCTGTAACACACATATTTAAATCATATTCCTACAAACAAGCCAATAACTATGCAATCCTTTGAAATATAGTTGTGTGCACTTCTATTTCTTAATTATTTGTAGATATCCTGCTTACAGTAAGTAAAATAACTATGTAGAACATAAATAATACTTCTGTAAATAATATCCTAGTTTATTATTGCATGATAAATTAAAAAAAAAAGATCTGAATAAAATATTTATGTATGCTACAGAAAGTATCATTATTTTTTTTTATTTCTTTAACAAATATTAAAATTCATCAGTAAATAACAAATATAAAGTTTGATTCTTAGTTGCCAATAACTAATAAGGAATGTGTTATAGAATTGTAAGGCAATGAAGTGACAGATGATTATTTAAGGATTTGTTCAATCAAGTTTAAAAGAAGTCTTATCAATCTCATTTCTGAAATTTCACAAATTTACAAGTAAAATAAAAACATATTACAAATTGTATCTCAAAAAATACAGATAACAAATTAAATAATGTAAATGAAAATATCAAGAATGTATTACTAAATATGAACTTATTGTATATTGACTTCTATATAATTAATGAATATTAAATGTCAAAGAATGATTCAGTGCATGTCTGGCAACATCATGAGGCTCAAAATAATAAATAAGCAAAAAAGAGTCTTGCCTGATAATGAGTCAACTGCTATCATATTATAAAAATTTATGGGAAAAATTTACAATTCTATGACTCTTACCCCTAACTAAAAGTGAAGACTAATAACCAGTAAGGTATTTGGATGGCCTTTTCTTGAGCCTATTTTTGTTTACAATAAAATTTGAATGTTCTAAAGAAAAAGGATTGATAAAGAAAATATATTAATATTCATTCACCCCATTAATTTTTGTTTTAGTTTTTTTTTATATGTATATGCACACTTGAACAAAAACCTGCTGAAAAATTCTTGACCCATTTTTCCAAAATTTGATGAACTACCAGAATTTGGAGGCCAAAGGAACCTTGGTTAAGCAGAGAGATGTTAGCACTGTCCTTGTATAGGAATAAAATCAAATCCAAAGTACATGATGGATATGTGTATTCTCATTTGATGTATCAATGTGTATACTGATTTTTATTTTTACTGTAATCTCGTCACTATATACTGAAAGTAAGAATTGTATTTGTATGAAGAAATCTTTGCTAAACAAATTAATTTTTTTAAGTTGAAAAAGAACTAAATCAACATTTGGAATGTTACAAGAAAAAGAAGATAAGTGAATAGATTTTTTTCATGTAGACCAAAGAAGCTTGGTAGTAGAGAAACCCATTTATTTTTGTGTAGAAATGCTAATCTTCTGTCCCATCTCCATTTTCTAATATTTCCAAATGTAGGTTTTTGTTTGCAGCACCTATAGTTTTCAAGGGTCACCAATAAATACAATGATGTAACTGAATGTTGTTTAAATTTTATTAAAAAATGTTAGATTTGGCTTGTAAAAGAAATAAGCAATAATTTGCAGTTTTAGATTTACTAGCTTATAACCATTTTTATAATGTTTTGGCAAGAAAGAAAACAAGAAAAAGATTCTATGTCTTCTACATATAAAACTAACTGTTAAATAGTTTTCAAAGTGTTTTAAGAATGCTGTTTGTATTTAAGATATAATGATGTAATGCACTTTAGAAATGAAAGCAACCTGTCATATTTATCAAATGGATGGAACGTGTTGACAGGATTATCTTAGTAAAGATAATCAAAAATGAAAGACACTCAAAGGCTGTATAAAATAAAGAGTTGGGCTGTTAGAGAGTAAAGTTGTTTGTGTATGCTTGACTCCACAAAGAAAAGGACAGTATATAGAATGAAATGAATCAGACAGAAC